GTATTGACACTCGTTACATTTGCACCCACCCATGCATGTAATCCCACAGATTCCTAATGCTGCAAGCAAACAAATAACCATCCTGCTCCGCCTGACACTGCGGCAACCCCAAATGCCTGCATGCAGTTTCACTTCTTGCTGTCGCTGCTGCTTTTAATGACGGCCAATGGGCAGCCGGAGAGTTATAGCCCCGTTAACACCACCGCTGGGGACGGCATGAATAGCCACCGTACGATGTTGAGACCGCAGCAAGAGCTGAATCAAGAAATCAGAATACACCGTGTAGAAAGCTTCATCCAGATAAGTTTAGTAAATAAAAGCCACAAAGCCAAGCCTTTGATATGAAAGATGCCCTTACCATTATCTCGGGTGGAGATAAACCTACCTCTTCTTGATAGCCACAGGCTTCGCCTGCCCTGCAGAGACCCTTCGACCTATCCTCAGCATCCCCGAAGCATCTCTAACTACTGAGCAGAGGCAAATCCTCTTGCAGCGCTGGAGCAGCGCTTTCTAAACCACATCTGCAGAAGGTTTTTAAGCAATCTTGCTACCAGGCAGGCAGTGAGCTCAGGGCTCGGGGAACCCCGAAGAAACCCATCCTGCTAAATTAATAGCCACTGTTAAGATTTCCACAATGACAAATGTACATATTTATCTGGTCCCCTCTGATATGCACTTAACGGGCAGCATTGTATTTCGAGGCAGCAGAAGTATCTCTGCACATCTGTTTTTCCAGTTCTGCCAAAGAGCTTTCATTTTTCTCTAATAACTTGACCTGTTTGCTTTCTGGCAGAAGATGGCTAAGCAGAGCACTCGCTCTCTGGATTCACTCCAGTATGGGATGAGGTCAGGACAACAAAGAAAAAGAAACAGCTGGATGGCTACAAAGCAGTGGGAACAAACAGGGCAGGGACCAGGGCTTTTTCTTTCCTTCCCTTTTTATTTATCCAATGGGATTTCATTCCTGGGCGTATTTATTCCCCCAGCAGATGGTATCGCAAAAGCAGTGTTTCCTGCACGCCGCCGTTGTGGGGAGCCTCCTGCAGCAGGCTGACCGTACCCAGGGTGCAGGTATAAATAGCACAGCCAGCTAATCCCTCCTCTGGTCGGCTGTCAGGAAATGTGAGGCACAGGTCCTAGGGGTTTCCACTGAGATATTGCATCTCCTACACAAACATTTTCATCTTGATTTTGGCAAGTTGGGGTTCATACCCCACAGTCCCACTTTATTTTTCCATTTCATCACATTCTCATTAGTCTACCCAAGGCTTTCTGGGCTGGGGGCTTTCACCTTGCGTTTTTTATTCTTCATTCTTTTTCCTGATATTCAGCTAAATCATCTTAAAGCAGCAAGCAGAAAAAATGCCAGTGAAGCAGGAAGGAGGTGGAAAAGAGGGGAGAGATGAGGGAATGGAAGACAGGGAGAAGACATGCAAGCACAGGAGAAAGACGGTGAAGCAGTCTGCACATGTTCCCTGTTTGGAGAGTTTCTCTCTCCCTGACCTCACTTTCTCCACAGCCAGAAATTCCACCTCAGGACTTGCCAAGGAGACAATGCAGCATTCCTCTGCTGGGCCACAAAGCAAGTGTGAAATGTTCTGTTTTAATCATTTACAGAACAAAAGGAACACAACAGTCACCGTCTGATTCATATCTCCTGAAAACCAGCAGCCAAAGCTGTGGGAGAGGAGAGACAGATGAAGAAAGGAAAGGAAGAGGCGCTGTGGGTTTGGTTTGTTTTTTTCTTCTGGTTAGTCACTGTGGACCTGAGGAAAGACAAGAAGGACCACGCCGGATCATACCAAAGTTTAAGAGCCCCTGGTGTCCTCTCTCTGACATGGCCTCTGGTAGATGACTGCAGAGAAAGTACAAGGGACAGTACAAGTACAAATGCTGTTTCCTCTAGTACATGATCCCATTTCCCTTCCTAAGCCAGAGGTTGTAGCTGCATCATCAGGTTTGAGAGCCCTTTATAGACCTTTCTTCCATGATGTTTTCTAATCACTTTTTGAGCCCATTCATACTTTTGGCACCCTGGACATCCTGTGGCAGCGAGTTGCACAATGTAATTGTGTGCTGTGTGAAGACATACTTCCTTTGCGTTGTTTTAAACCTTTCCGTATTTCACAGAATCACAGAATGGTTGAGGTTGGAAGGAACCTCTGGAGGTCATGTGGTCCAACCTCCCTGCTCAAGCAGGGCCACCTACAGCCAGTTACCCAGGACCATGTCCAGACAGCTTTTGAATATCTCCAAGGATGGAGATTCTACAACCTCCCTGGGCAACCTGTGCCAGTGCTCAGTGACCCTCACTGTAAAAAAAGTGTTTCCTGATGCTCAGAGGGAACCTCTTGTGTTTCAGTTTGTGCCCACTGCCTCTGGTCCTGTCCCTGGGCACCACTGAAAAGAGCCTGGCTCTGTCCTCTTTGCATCTTCCCTTCAGGTATTTATATACATTGATAAGATCCCCCAGAGCCTTCTCTTCTCCAGGTTGATGAGACCCAGCTCTCTCAGCCTTTCCTCACAGGAGAGATGCTCCAGTGCCTTCATCATCCTTGTGGCCCTTCTCTGGACTATCTCCGGTATGTTCATGTCTCTCTTGCACTTATTTACTTCTATGCCATTCATAATTCTTGTACTTCTACCGTATCCTCCTTCAAGCATCTCTTTTCCACATCATCAAGTTGTAGCTTACTCAGTGCCTGCTTTCATAGAAGCTGCTCTGTCCCTCGGTCACCTTTGCCTCCCTTGCCTGGTACTTCTTCAGGGAGCCTCAGAAATGTGCTCACTGCTCAAGGTACAGGTGAGCCATGCACTGACTTACACAGCAGCAGACCACGGGGAGATTTCCAAAGGCTGGGCATAGCAAGCACAGCACCAGTCTTTAAGACGAGGAGAGAAAGAAGAGTTAGGAAGTGATTTCCCAGTCATTGTTAATTCCATCCTTGGAAGCACCGGAACGACCAAAGGCTTTGCAAACATGTAGAAAAGGAGTAAGAGCCAGCACAGATTCAGCAAGAACAGAGCTGGTCAGACTCATCTAATCTTCTGTGATGAGGTAGTAAACCTTATAGACGAGGGGGGAGGTGCAGATGCTGTATATGTTGGCGTATAAGTAGGGCTTGTGATACTGTGTTGTGTGGTATCACTATAAGCAAGAGAGGGACACCTGGACGAGGAGAAAGTTTGAATAGATGGCTGCATGACTGGTCGAAACCCTTCTTGGAGGTTAGTTACTCACGGCATGAGGCAACGCAAAAAGCCTCTCGTAAAACTGATACTGATCAGCATTTCCACGAATGACTCAAAATCCAAGCATGGCTTTTTACGTTTGCAGTTGACAGCAGGCTGGGACAAGTAGCATGGAAGCTGGACGCAGGACTAGAGGTCAAGGCAGACTTGACGAGCAGGTAAAAAAGGATGTGATCCAGTGATCCTCCGTTGGGATCCTCCTCCAGCCCCTGCACAGAGGACAAGAAACTCTCAGTCTGACCCGCAGAAGGGCTTTTCCTTGCTTATGCCTGCCTTTGGCAGCACAATGAGTAATCGGCTTAAATTACAGAAATTTAATTAGACACCAAGAAAACCCTTAGAGTGCAGTGAAGCACTGGGGTGGATTGCCTAGGAAGGCTGCTAGGACAGGTTGGTCGTCCATGTGGGGTGATGGGTGAACTGGAGGCGCTAGTCCTGCCTTCAGGCAGAAGAGAGGTGTAGCTGGCCTCTTGAAGTCCCGCTCAGACCTGCTTTTCCGTGATTTTTATGGTGATGATGCTTTGTTACAATGTTGATGTTTTGTCTCAGGATGTTGTTATTATAATGCTGCTTTATTCTTTGCTCCTCTACTAATAACTCCTGCTGTTCAGGTAGCTGATTTGACCAGGGCTGAGTATTTTTGACCTGGTATTCTCAGGCCCCGCTTACACGATCACTTCAACACAGCATAAATCTGAGCTGCTACTGGGATGATCTTTTCCTTTCGCCCTCCAACATGTGCTTGCTCTTACCCCCTCGCTTGCCTGGCACCGCAGACCACGCAGCTGTGCATGACTCAGGACAGGAGACTGATCCAGCTGAAAACTCACCAGCAGGGAGGGAGGCAAGAGGAGAGATCAGTTTTCCATTACTTGTTCTGCTATCTCACATCCTTTGTCTGTCTTGTCTACCTTGGATGGAGCAATCACGTCTTGTGCTGTGTTTGGAAAGCAGAGTGGAAATGTAAGGTGATACAAGCGCTGGTTTGAATAATCTTTTCCAGACTGAGGGATGTCTAATACTGCTGTGCAGAGGAAAGCGGTGTCCGAGCAGCTCCTGCTGCCCCTCAGCTGGGAACGGGGCTGTGCAGAAGCCCTGGGAGATGCCAACCACCACCTCAGGAGGCAATGGATCATACTGGATGGCACAGACTATTTCCCCATTAACACGAGGAGGATGCCAGGAAGCCGGTTGACCCGTGTTACAGCCCTGATCCCTGCCTCTCCAGGGCCCTGCCCCTTGACCAGGGGTCACCACGAGCCTCATTGTGCACATCTAAACCATCTGTCTAGCTGCTCGTGCACTTCTTTGCTACTCAGCTAAAACCAACCAAATATTGTTATTTGGGAGAGGGAGCTTGTTCTTTGTCAGTGAATACATTTGCTAAGACTTGGAGGGTTTGCCATGGTTAGGAGAAATGGGCATGTGTCACTGAGGGAAGGCACCGGTCAAGGGATAAGATGGGGAAGATCAAGAAGAAAAGGAACTGGTGGAAGCTGTGTCGCAGAAAATACATTTTAAAGTTACTTGACTTGTTTTAACAGCAATCTGGTAATGAATGAGACTGCCAAGGGAAGGCTCTTGGCTTTATTCCCATTCCCTGTTAGACACTCCTCTGGGTGAACGCATGTCAGAGCAGTCTCTATCCTGACACCAAGTGGAGAGAGCTCACAAGGACTCCTATAAGACCAAGTGTATGAGGACAGTGAGGACAACTGCCGGCCCAGCCACCCCTTCAAGCGCCAGCGAGGCATCATACAGTTTATTTTTGTATTTACAGGAATTTTTTCAAGATCCTGGCTCTTAGCAGCAGAGGTTTACAGCAGAGATAGTTACACATGATAAAAATCACCATTCTGCACTCCTGCAGTTTTTACCCTCCTACTGCAAGTTTCCACCAGTGCTGCATGTGGTGAGCAGCCCAGTGGGTGCATGTAGAGAATCCTTACTGGTGACAAGGTGAGTTTTCAGAGCAGCGGGGAAGTCGCAGAATCACAGACTGGTTGAGGTTGGCAGGGACCTCTGGAGGTCATCTGGTCCAAGCCCTCTGCTCAGGCAGGACTGCCTAGAGCTGGTCGCCCAGAACCATGTCCAGACAGCTTTTGAATATCTCCAAGAATGGAGAATTCATTGCCCTGAGAATGAAGAGGAGGGTGCCTTTTCCTTGGGAGGAAGGACCGATGCTCGGTCGTATAGGTGGTGAGCATTGCAGTGTGTGGGGGTGGTCCCACCATGCTGCCGAAGAGCAAGGAAAGGTGCACAGACCTGAGCCTCGCGTGTCTCCCAACGTATCTAATTTGCACTTTCCCACATGCTCCATCTCCAGCCTTCCCCCATTTTCTCAGGAGGGGTTGGGGGCTTGATTTTCCCCTTACTTGCACGTTAGACCTCCTGCAGAAGCTTCCCAGCATGCAGCTCAGGTCCTCACCCCCACCTTACCTTGAGCATCTAACTCCTCCTGAGCAACACATCTTTTTTGACCTTGGCCCTGGAATGAAGGGGAGATCACTGCCAGATAGGGCTCCCCCATGGATTCAGCCTCTGAAGCCTTCAGCTTCCCATGCCCATCTGAGGTTGTATTCTCCCTGGGTGTCTTACTCTTCATTCTCTCTTTACACACCTCTACTTCTGCCTTCCGGGGAGGGGGAAAACCCTCATTGAGTTGCAAGGCACCAGAAAGTCACAGAAGCTCCAGTGCCAGCCGTGGGCTAAACCACAAACCCAGCCAAGAAGCAGCAGCATCTGAGAGTGCTCTGCACCAGAAAGGTGACAGCTTCTCCCCCAGGGAAAAAAAATCCGCATCAAACACAGAAAGGTCCTAAAAACATCTAGCATCGAGCTGTCCCATCCCTCTGATGGATGGCATTCAAAAGCAACACAAAAAGGAGGCACCGGTGATGATGAATTTATGCAGTGGAAAGCATTCAATGGCTGCCCTGTGTTGTAAGTCATCCCCTAATTACTTTACATAGGAAAAAAGGAAGAGGAAATCTATCACGCATGGACTTACCCAGCTGATCCAGAGCAAAGAGGGCTGGGGCACCTTCGGAGAGCTCATTGTCTGAGGGAAGAAGAACAAATGCTTGGAAAGGTCAGCTGGAGAGGGAAGTGTGGAGAGCTGGGGTGACAACGCTGTTTTAATCACACTGCAGATAAGCCCCTGCTCAACTTGCTTCCAGTTCACCCCTGACAGTCTTTATATGTGTGTTTCTTTTAATCCAACTGTTACTGAAAAACCTTGGAGGCAGCTCAAGACGGAGGCTTGGCAGGATGAACCCTTATACCCCTCCAGCATTGCCAAAGAGCAAAAGCTCTGCTGCCCTGTCTCTGCCCACCCTGGGATCCCCTGGCCGTGCTCCCCGTTTTGGCCATGCCATGGCTCTCTGCTCCCTTTCCCTGTCTCACCCGGGTCTCAGGGTACGGCCAGGAGCATCCTGCCTGCAGCAAAGCTTTCCTGCGTGCTACAGTGTCCTCCAACAATGGCAGCTGGGGTAGGTTTAACCAGTGGGAGCAGGAAAATGCTCTGGCTGGAATTTTTCAGAGGCTGAGCAAACCCTTGAGTCATCTGATAATAATATTGCTGTAACTCAGTGCCTGTGGCAGGTTAGACCATGAGCTCTGGAAACTCCTTAGCCAGTGGCATATCTCACTGAGAGCTCATGGGAGATTATTTTGGATCCCAAGCCCAATCCCACCATGAGCCCACCCATCCTTGCCTGCTCCCCGCTGCAGACCACAGCGCACAGGGATCCCTCACTGCCAGAAGGACCTGCAGCCACACAGGAGCATCTGGCCAAGTCTTAAATGCCATTTATGCCTTGGAGTTGGTGGGGATTTCTTTATTTTCAAACATTTCTTTCAATGTCAAAATACTGCTGAATTGCAGAGACTCAATGCAATTTAAAAAAATAAATAAATAAATTTGCAGAGAGTGGTTTTTTTCCTGTTGGTTTTTGTTCTTTTTTTTCCTTTCAGGTTCATGACATTTGTTCAATGCATGGGTTAGACTAAAAAACCTTTCGGTCTGGAATCTGTGGACTGCTCCTAGGGTGTTCAAGGAGAATGTTTAAGAAAGGCAGGTGCATGACACCGTATAGTAATCCATACTTGTGACATTTCTAGGAGATCTTGCCCCCCACTATAAAATGCTGTTAGGCCCATCGGTTAGAAAAACCTGTGAGCCACTAATTTAGGATAGCAACAGGCTGCATATAAAACAAAAGGCCAATGTATAACCACATTTAGCTGTTTGGGATTTTTATAAACTCCTGATGGCAATGACTCTGCCCTCCTCTGCATTACAGACCCAAGCACAGTGGGATCCCAAACCCAACTGTATAACCCAACCTATAAACGGTAACACAGACCATGCACATGGCGAAGATTTTAGAAAAATGACAGAAGCAGAGATTGTTCTAATGGGTAAAAAGGATGGACTGCAGCAAGCATCCCTGTGCTAGTCCCGTGGAGCCACCCTGGGCCGGGTACCTGCAGAAGCAGCAGATGTGCTGTCATAAGGGTGCCACCCAGTGGTGCTTGGCTGGGGAGATTGAACCCAAGGCTGCTGGGTTCAAAAGCATAAACTTCCTTATCTAATTTAACTCTCGTGGAAAAGGAGGCAATGCTGCATCTCACTGTCCCCTTCCCCAGGCATCTGGGCTATCAGCGGGAAGCCAAGGGAAACAGATGGAGATAAGCAAAGCATTTTACCAAAGCAAAATGTTTCTGTTCCCAAGGTGCTGTCATCTGGAAGGCTGTGGGTTTATTTTGGTTTTAGTCCGGGGCACAGCCTGTCCCAGCCAAAGAAGGGGCTTTGCCCAAGGAGGGGCACCTTGTGCTGGCCTGGGGGACGGGGACCTCCGGTGATGAAGATGAGCTGGGGCTGAGCAGGGAGCACATGTGGCTGCTTCTGCCAGATGTTCGAGCGGGGATTAAAAAGCAAATTACAGCAGCTGGAAATTAGGTAGAGATGAATTGATAGAGGAAATAGTTCTACTGGCTATTTCGCATTGCATCTGCCCTGAGTGCTTTCCTGAGATTGGCAATTTCTGGAGAGTGATGGACCCTAGCCTTGGGCTGGGAGGTCTTGTGTCATGCTAAGGTGGGCTGAAACCTTGAATGGTCCTGCACAGGGAGCCGAGCCAGGGCAGCCCTTGGCCCTCCTGTCACTGCTGGGACAGCGTGTCTCCCTGGAGCCATCCTAAATTGTCCCACACAAATATGCTTGAAGAAAGAAAGGGGTATTTTACTGGCTCTCCTCCTCACTCCTCCCTGACCACTGCCATCTGCAGAGTCCTGCTTGTGGAGCATGAGGGTGGTCACATCTAGCACAAGTGGCATATTAACTTGCCAAAAGGTGGGTGTTGGGGGTTTTTTTTGGCAAAAGGCCACTCCAGAGAAGGAAGACAAGCCACAAATCGAGTGCCTGTGTCAGTGTGCCAGCTCCTGGCAAGACACTGCAGTTTGGGTCAGACCTTTCCCACCTTCATACCGAGTATTGCCTTGCTCTGGACATAGCCCAGCAAAACCCCTGGGACCACTGCAAGCACAGTGAAGGGCGGCAGCACATCAGGAAGGCTCCCAGCATATTCACTGGGTGGATTAAAAACCAGCAATCATGTCCTACCTCCTTTCACACTGGCAAAGGGATGGATCCCACCATGAGACAACCAGTTGGTTTCATCCAGCTTCCAGTTTTCACCAGGGTCCATCTCTGATCTGCAGCATCAAAGATCTGCTTGCAATGCCTCCTGCCGCTCTCTCTGGGAAATAACCAGAAGATACTCTGAGTGCCTGTCGTGGTCCACACCATGGCCAGCTGCTGAGAAGCTTCCCTCAGCAGAGGAAAATGTCTTGTAAATATTTCAGAAAAAAAAGGAAAAGAAAAAAATCACATGGCTCACAGGGGACTATTGGACCAAGGAGCGGCTGACTCTGCCAAGCCTTGACTTATCACATCGACAAGTCTCCCTGCTGTGTCAAAACGCCACCAATGCTTGGACCTCCCAGTTTCTGTTGTCAGTCTGACCAATGCTGAGAAATTCCTAATCCCTCACAATATTTGCAGGGATGGGGTTGTATTTCTGAGCAGGGTGATGTGCCACAAGGGTGTCCATCGGGGATGAGTGTCTCAGTTCCACATGCCCAGTCTTGACTGCACCCCAGGGTCCCAGCTGGCGAGGGGAGTGGGCAGGGGTGTTGGCCCTTGCTCCCACATCGCAGCCCCCCCATGGACAGGAGTTACAGGCTGGGAGTTATCAGTTACACATTACAAGGCGACGCTACCACTGGCTGCTTGGTTCTCGCAGCTGCCCAAGCCCTGGAGCAGTGGCTGTGAGCCACCAGGGAAGGATGGAGCTCCTAATCCCAAAAATTCCCTTTCTGGTGTAGACACTGAATTATTTTCCTGTCTATCAGCCATTTGGTACTACCTACAGGTTTGCTGCACCTGGGAGTCCATGGGTATACGTGGAGGCATTTTCCCTCCCTGACCCCTTGGACCTGTGCATCCCCGGTGGGGTAAGCACACAGGGGCATTTCATCCATTCCTAAATTTTCAGGATTACATGGATTTGGGAGGGAATAAAGTCCTTCCAGCATCAACAACCTCTAAGTTATCAAGGAAGCACACACCAGTGTTGGGATGCAACAAAAAGTTACTGCAGAGCTTTTTTGCCTCTACGGGAAGATGCTGAAGTGGAGGTGACAACAGGGACTTTCCCTAACATTGTGTGAGTCAAACCCGGACCCCAAATGCCACCAATAGAGCTGGTTTCACGGCGAGGTGAGTCCCCTGGTACCCGCCACAATGGAAGCTGTGCATCTCTACTCAGCCCCTGATTTTCATCATCATCATTTGTAGGAATTTGTTGTAATTCAATGCTGTCAGGGCGCTCCTGGGAGGGACGGGCAGGTAGTAATGGAGGGACACCATCACAGCAGCACCATTTCCTTAGGAAACCTGGCAAAGAGGTGGATGGGCCCTGTCCCCATGGGGAAGCGAAGCATAACCGAGCCACACCATTGCATTTCCCAAGCACTGGCGTACCCCAGCCACCATCCCATCAGGGGGAGATGCCAGAGCTGGGGGGTCTGTGGGAAGGGGCAGCGGCTCCACATTGGCGTATCACCCCAGTGGCTCCAGTCCTGAGCCCTTGCCCCCGCGCGCTGCTGGGTCTCACCAGGGTGAATCATGGCTGTGCCGGTGCTTCCCTGGCCAACCAGACCTGCGAGAGGTCATTTCACCCGGTCTCTTGCTCAACACCTTAATTCAGTAGAATTAAATACTTGTGCATATGGGTTTGCTGAGCAGCAAACAGGACCGGTCACTGCCGCATGCAGGCGGAGCTTGACTGGGGTTCTTTGATGTAGCAAATTCACCCAAAGGGCAATTAATAGATACCGAGACTTTGGGTGAATTTGGATTCAATATGTAATGAGTTTTAGCTGAAAGAGAAGAAAAAAAGTTCTGAGAAAAGCTGCAAGGCTCCGTTTTGATGTTTTAAAAATGGAACATTTTTTGTTGTTCTTTCAAATGATGCTTTTAGTTTGAAAGTGACCTAGTTTGCTTTTTCTTTTCTCTTTTCTTCTTTTTTTAAGTTATGAAAAGCACTAAATAATCTCAAACCAGAATGTCTCATGTAATGCTTATGAAAAGAAATCAAAGAAGACAAGAAACATTCTCCTTTAGGGGGTGACCCAAAACAAAAAGTATTTTCAATTTTTCCATTCAGCCACTGAAATGAAAAACCTATTATTTGTACAACTCCACTACTGAAAGGCATCTCGTCAATGTGTACTGCTGGCAATTTATTCTTTCCACCTGCCAAGGGAGAGGTTTGTCTGCAAGTTCAATAAAAGTATGAGAGAAAGAACGAAAGGGCAATTTATCAACGTAACATAGAAGATAAAATGGATTTTCCATATTCACTCGTTTCTCTGAAAGAAGAAAAACGCAAACCTCCAGACCTCAGCTCTTTGTCCACTGTCCCCTTCTGTTCAGAATCATATAGACATGAAATCATATAGACACGAAATCATATAGACACGAGTCCTGAGCTCCCGCCACACAGAAGATTAATTGTAAATATAAAACTTCTGACTTTACTGATGCATAAGGTCCAACCAATACAAGAGAAAGCAAAAGCCAAAATTTATTTGGGACAATAATACTGGCAAAGAGAAACACCTAAAAGATCATAAACCTCAGTCATTGCTGTAGCTTTGGGGCATCCATCCCTTCCCTTCACAGCAGAGCTTGGTGCCAGCAGAAGCTGGTGGTGTCAGGTCCCTGGGGCCAGCATCACAGGACCAGGTACGGGTTTATGGTCCCTGTCTCACCACAGAGCATCCATTGTGCCCACCTTCCGCTGCGGCCACCCAGCAGGATGGGATGGGAGGGAAAGGGATGGGTACGAACACGGACCAGGGCCCACTAGCTGCATTAGCATTCATGCAATACACTTCTCACTAAAATGCAAAGCTGAAGAAAGAGGCATTGCTGCTCAGCCTGGTGTCTCGCGAGGGCTGGGATTTATGCTCCAGCTGCTTGAAGCGCTCAGCCTTGTCGCAGTCAATAGTCAACACCTATTACCTCTGTCTTTTAAGAAGACGACAAATCAAATGTCATATTTTCCAAAGTGCCTGCACTCAGATCCTGTGTTCAGTCTTCATTTAGGGCAGGGGGAGCTCATTTTACACACCTACAGCTTCCACCAGTCCTCTAAGAAAAAACAAGACAAGA